CCAGCCACGGGGGCTGAAGACCCTGCCAATAAAGATGTAACACAGCTGAGCAACTTCACTGGCAGCTGCAACTGCCTGTAACCAAAGCCACGGGAGGTTTCCACCTACACTACAGATATGAGCGACTCCAGCATCATCTCCAAATGGACAGTGTTCACTGCCCCATCAGCTGGGGGTTGACATGCAGTGCCACAACTGATGAGACATGGGCTGCTTGTCACACAGCAAGCCGTGGGGACTCCCCTGTTAGTGGGCCACATCAAAGGGGTCTAAGGGACCCCCTGGCCTCACTGCCTCTGGTGAGCTGCAACAAAAACACCCTTCCAGACCACCAGCTTTGGCTGAACCTGGAGGAGACCATTCCCACACTCTCTCTCATTTCTCTTTCCACAGTCAACACCTAAAAGCCGTGGCTACTCAGCTGTCTGGGGTTTCACTGTTACACTACTGCTAAGGTGGCTGCCAATTGTTCCATCACTGGGAGTGTGAAGAAAAAGAAACCAACAACCCACCCAGGAATAACTTTTTCTTGCCAACTGATTGACGGAGAAAGGCTAACACTGCTCGGCATGAGTCCCAGCACATGATATCACCTCCTACTGCACTGGAAAGGATTAATCCTTCACATGATAAGGAAATTGCTAGTTGTGGTCTTACAATTTCCACACTCCTTGAAAAATGGCTGTTTTTTTAGGGACCTGCACAACTTAGCCTGACTCTGGGCAGCAAAGACCATATGGACTTACCTGTTGGACTGTAAGGGGCATCATCTGAACTTTTCCTTTTCTTTGATCGGGATTTGAATACTGGATTATCTTCATCTGATTCGAGAGAAGGGTAAACTACAGTAGGAAACAAAAGCAATAGTTTCAGTGTAGGAAACAGCTCTACCCTGCATAGAGGCCCACCTGCTCTGTACAGGTGCAGTGACTACAGGCATCACAGCTAGGATAGCAAAGTCCCCCAGAGGTACCACTGCACGGTGACACAGCTGCAACACTCAGGGGACTTTCTCCTGCTCTCATCCACACACTACACTTGGGAGCTGCTGTCATTAAACTGTGACAAGCTGCTTCTAGGATACACACTGAAACTTCTCAGACAGGAAAAATCAGTCATGTCTGTGGAACAGCAGCACAGCTAGAAGAGGCACAAACAGGTTTCCTTATCGCAAGCAAGACTAGTACTGAAGACACGTCTGCCAACCACTTCATTCAGCACCACACCTTCCTGGCCCGTACGACTCCCGCACAGTTAGGCAGAGACAAATGAGACATAGCGTGAGCATCCAAAAGATGAATGTGAACCATTCTACCAAAGGACCTCTGGGATAAACATCAACTTACCTAAATTTTGTCCCAGCCTTTACTATGAAGTTTCTGTATTTTTTTTTTCACATGCATTTGATTTTTTTGCCAGTTGCCATTTGTTACATTGCTACTGATTTTGGCATAACTGTAGCATTTGGCCATTGACACTAGAAGTCTGCTGATCAGACATGGCACAAACAGAGCCTCTGGAAACCAAGCCTGCTCACAACAAAGACTCTCCATTCGCTGGCAGCACAGACACATAATGAGCACATCCACCCCTCAGTAGAGCAGAGCCTTGTTCACGTGTGGCATTTGTCTGTAAACCACACCCATGTCCAACAGCTTCATGGAGCTGCCCTTTCTGAAAGCAGCTTCCAGCACTACCACTGCATCCCAGCGCATGTAGTGCACTCTAAATGGCTGGGCAGCCTTCTTCTGCAACATGTCACAGCATTTCCATTTCACCTTGGCATTTCTGTTAATAATGTGAAAACACACACTCCATTTTTCAAATTTTAACAGATGATTTCTGATGGCCATGCTTGCCAGGGAGACTTAAACACACACATAGACTCTCCTGTTATGCAGCATAAACGTCTACCAACTTCTTGACCTCTTTGGGACTTCAGGCTTTTCAGTCCCTATCAGTCTTCAAATCACTACTTTTCTTTATTTCCTCACTTCTTATATTCAAAAACGCTCCTGCAGATTATTATGGCAGAACTGATATAACTGATGCAAACTGGCTTTGCGCCCATTTCTGCTTCAGATGCTTGCATTCTCTTCCACCACTCAAAATACCATTGGATTCCTTTCCCAAGTACAAATTCAACTTCTCACTCACCTTAGCTAGATATTTTATTGCTATTGTGTAGACAAGGACATTTCTGTCATAAGTACCAGTACCTGACACGGATTTCTGGGACAGTTTCCTGTTTCTTGGCTGACTGCTGCGGTTTCAGTGGACTTCCATGCCTCTTAAGATCTGATCTTGACATGCCTCAAATACAGTCTACCTGGATGGCCATATCACCACTGGCTCTGTAGTCAGTCTACCTATCATACAGCGTTTGCTTAATTTTGCTGTGTAGACATCTTGCACTTCTCCTTACCAAAATACCCAGTTGATTTCAATGTGACAGAAAGTGAGTAAGTGTATCATGAGAAACATGGCGGGTATTTGCAAACATGCACAAATACATACATGCATACCCTGGCACACACTCGCTCAGACTGCTTCGTTTGTACTTACCGTAATCTGAATCTTTAAAACAGGCATCTAAGTGGTCCTGATCTTCATCATAATCTTCAATGTCAATACTGTTCTTTGTGCTTTTCTTTAGTAACCGCTTGCCAGCATTTTTGTTGCTGCTGCCACCTGTTTTTTTAGAGTTTTGTGTGGAGATGGAGTTATTCTTCGCCTGATTGGTACCCCATGATGTCTGGAGGCAGGACTCTGATGACTGGAGGTTTGCCATCGATAGCATGCCCTGGATTGCTTCTTGCGTGCTGGGTGAGGCAGGTGGCTGACTGTGGGGAAACATTGAGAAATACAAGAGCTATTAGTGATTCCAGAAAAACACAAACCCCTCACGAACAGTTGGCTCCTTTCACTGCACCATGTTGCTCAAGAGATTTCCCGATTACTGCCCTTTGAGCAGCTGGGCATGCCACAAGTGGCACCAGTTATTTTTATGCTAACAGCAATATCACAGACAGCACATTAGATCTGGGGTTTGCAGAAGCCAGGAAGCTGTGTGCCGCACGGCTGGGCATGTCACGGGCAGCTCCCTGGGGGCTGTTGTCACTGGTGGGTGAGGACACGGGTCAGATAACTTTTCAAAGCCCATAACAGCATTCCCAACAACACAGTGTCTCTACTACCAACTCTGAGGGCTTATGGGTCAGCACTGGAGGGGGATGTTGTGGTGGGCTTCTGCTACATACTGCCAAGCAAGTAGAGGACGAATTTGAACAACTGGAAGGAAGCTCATGATCACAGGCCACTGTTCACACTGGGGGCTGTCACCACTCCAGGATCTGCTGGAAGAGCAACATGGTAGGGCACAAGCAATTCAAGAGATTTCTGCAGCGCATTGGAAGGGTTTTCTGATGTGGATGTGGGATGGATTGATTATGGGAGATGCCGGAGAGATATGGACTGGATGGGTGGACTACAGGGTATGTAGAACCTTGCTTTCATTGAACTTGCTTTTTAGTATTTTATTGCCAGTTGTCACCAGGCACGGCACATCCACTACAGAAAGAAATACATTCCTACAGAGTAGGCTGAGGTCAAATGATATGTAAATTCTGACTGGTATGTACGCTTAGCGAGGTGGGAAAACACACTCCCCACAATACAGAAGAACGTAGAAGAATGATAATCTCATCAGAGAATGCCAGAAGTTAATTCTGTGACAGGCAGAACACATCATCAAATATTTCCAGAACTTTGGAGTTTGGGCAAATAGTGAAATGCAAAAAAACTTGCTGTGGTAATGATATTTTTTACAGTTATGCAATAGAAGCCATTAACATACAGCACTTCCCAAATAAATTAGCAGTACCACATTGCTTTCTCTTACTTGATCTTAATTTAATCCACTTTAAACCATTACAGGACTCCAGATAGAGTAATGTACAAGACATAATGGGAGCTTCTGGGCACTAATTGCATTTATAAATAATACTGAAAATGAGTTAAGACTGGTGTTAGCAGCTAGCAACTCAACGAATAGAAGAACATTGAAAAAACTTATTTAGGAAAGAGACATTTTAATCCATTCATTATCATGCCAGATGCCTCAGCCTTCTCCCTGTCAAAGGCATACTTTGCACCATCTACAAGAAGTTAATGTATTTTCTTTCCATTTTTTCCCCTGACTGTTTTTGCAAACACTGGACTCTCAAAACACTGCAAACAGACCATCAAACACTGACCACTAAATGGGCAAATCAGAGAGGAACTGCCTTAAGCAACACAAGCTTCAACAAATAAATTGTGGAATATGATCAAAACCAGTGGTTCTGAGAGTCAAACCACAACCTGAATGTGTGGGTGAAATGTCTCAAAGAGACAGAGCTGCACACGGGACAAAGTGTTTCTCATTAGGGCATGTGCTTGCATGTACTTCCATTAGAGGTATTTCAGCTTTCTAAGCCAAAAAAATTCAAGAAGAATCAGGAAGCAATTTTTAAGCTCTGGAAGGCCATATCCCCTTTCTGTAGCTTCAGCAATGATTAAAAAAAAACATTTATGAAAGTAAACTATTGGTGAGTTACAACTATGACTTAAAAAACATTTAAAACAAGCACAGGAGCAGGAGCAAAGCAGCCAGAGTGCTTCTGCCCCCGTGCTCCCTTCCCAGCAGCTGGCTGGCAAGGGCCCTTCGAACACACAGCGAGGTGGCACTTGGCAACAGCACAGACCCTGCCACTGCTCTGCAAATCCTAACAGCCTTGCTTTCCTTTCCTCAAGCTAAAAAATGATGTTGTGGATGAACAGAGGAAAGGACACTTTAACAAACTGACTGGTATCAGTTTGTGCCTTTTGCAGTGGTTTCCACTTCAGCATTTTGCACAGCCTTCCTTTGCAGGATTTTATTGTTTCCTTTTACTCTTGTAAAGACAAGGACACGCAATTGAGACATTAGTTTACTGCAACAACCATTTGCTGCCTAGCAAGCATCTGGTGATTTTCAGCTGTGTATAGTGCAGGAACTGAAAGAGGTCCACACTGGAAACTGCCAGCTTCCCCTGCAACACCCAGCACCGTGCGGTAAACCTTGGTGCAGCTGCCACACCGTCCACAGGCAAAAGAACCCTGCAGATTGCCAAAAAGGCATAGCCAAAGCAGCATGGTGGATGCCTGAATGACCCACAGGGCTGGGCTGTAGAGGATGAGTCCAAGGTATGCCAGGCCTAGCTCTCACCCAGAGCCCATGCTGAGCTGGTACAGAGCCCAGTGGGCCAAGCTGGCACCCACACTGAGCAGCCTGAGCTCGCAAGCCTGCTAACAAGTCATGTCCATCGCCATCACCAGCAATTGCCTTTCTGCTGCTGCTCCCAAGAGTTGAAACTGGCAGCATGCTTTCACATTATTAACAGAGAGAAGCACCATAACAGAAGGGAAAATTTGCTGTTAAAACTCATCCCATATAAAATCTCCCCCAGGGCTGACCAGCCTGCAACGCTGGTTGGGACAGTGTGATGAGAAGCAGGGAAGGGCAACCCGAGGAAGAAGACATTGGTCTGTATGGCACAGATGGCTTTGCGCCCTACACACAGTGCTCTCTGCAACTATTTATTGTGTTGGGTTTAAGCCTTGGGGCCTCAGTGTCCCAGAAGAGCTTGGCGTTGCTAGCAGTATCTTCTTCAGGGAGGAGAGCATAAAGCATCCCTTCAGGCCACATTTTGGGGCTTTCACTTTGCCTGCGTTACCCGTCTAAACTTGACAAGAGCATCTTTTCCCTGACAGCATGTTCCAGAGTGGGTGGCAATAGGGAAACAGCCGTGATCGTGACAAGAATACACACAATTCAGCATGGACAGACTAAGGTTTTACCTCCTTAGTTGAGGCTGGCCCCTGCGCTGTCTGGGCGCAGGAATGATCCCAACACCCTGAAGCTAGGAGGAGATATCATGCAGGGAGCCTGTGCCTCACTTTTCACAACCAATTTACTACTGCCATCTCTCTCTGAGGGTTCAACATCTCTAGGCAGATCATCTCCTTCCTTTGATAAGCAATTACTGAGCCTTTCACCTATACCCTCATATTTAGAAATTGAATTTATTAATTTCAGCAGAATATTACTCATTGAGGGGTGGCTTCTTCCCCATTCTCCAGGCTGTCTACACAGATGGCTGGAGGCACTGAAGGGCAAGGGGGAGATGAGAGGCAGTCAGCTCACTAATGTCTCACCTCGCCTCTGAATAACTATCACCCAGTCTCATCTTAAGATTAGGGGAAAAACAGATATGGGCAAAGGAAAGTCACAGGAACCACTGAGCATTTTCTAAATGGAAACAAGAACTAACTTGAAACAAGAACTATCTCATGGGGTTGCAGAGAAGACAGAGACAGACCGTTCTCGGTGGTGCACAGCAATAGGATGAAAGGCAGTGGTCACAAGCTGCAGCAGCAGAAATCCCAACCTGACACATGAAGAAAAGGTCCATTCTGAGGGTGGCTGAGCAGCTCACACAGACAGGCTGCAGAATCCCCATCCCTGAATATACTTAAAACTCACCAGGGCAATGCCCCAAACAACTGAGTGAAACTTTGCAGCTGGCTGTGCTGTGACCAGGCGGCTGCACTAGGTGACTTCCCAAGGTCCCTTCCAACTGCCGTTACTGTGGAATACTTCCAATAAGAACCATTGAAAAACAGTTGTGCATGTAAGGGGAAGGCAATAAATCACCATCCTCTCTCTGTGATAGTATTTCCCTGTCATTTCTGCATCTCCCCTCACCCCACCTGTGGCCAAATGCAAATGAACCACAAAGAAGTAGAGCCAAGATAGTGATGACTTATCAATACTTTAGAGAAGTCATGGTTGTATAAAACTATGGAACTCAAATAATTTCAAGTACAAAACCAGTATTTCCTTCCATTTTTGAATCAGACCTGGAAACAACAAATAATTTTTCTCATTTCAATATCATGTGACTACCAGTCCCTCCAAGCTTTTTTCTATATTCCAATTCTTTCAGACTGTTTACACATTTACAGCAGCCTTTCTGCAGTACCTCTGTCATTATCTCTCCCCATCTCACTACCATTGACACAAGTACAGGAGATGCAGCTCTCTAGAGCAATCTAGGTAATGCCATCAGGGGATCTGGTTTGGTCAGCTGCAAATAACAGTCCAATATTTTACAGAATAAAGTTTCACACAATTCAGATAAGGTCATTATCACAAAAAGCCCTGTCCTGCTTCCTAAGTTACTGCTGGGGTGCAGCAGCTTCGGCGATGGTCTGACAGGGCTTCATGCTTCCCACTTGAGAGCTGGCTCTCATCTGCACAGACCACTGTGTGAGCAAAGGAGATTCCACATAGACCTAGCTGCACTACTGCTACGTGGAGTATCCAGAATGTACATACATATATATATGTGTGTGTATATATATAAATACATACATATGCCTACCCTTTATCTGCCTTAGAAGTAGAGAAAGATGGAAATTGTTCCTGAGAGTCAGACATGACCACATTGGCATTATGTTGCAACACAGTATGTTTGTATATCATGTTTCTTCCATTATTTTTTTTTTAAAAAGCATGTTATGGCCATTTAAAAAGCCTAGCATAATTATGAAATGAAACATAGTAATTTCATTTATGGGGAGCTTTTTTCAATCAAACTGCAACACACACTGCCAAAGCCTAATTTTTTATACAAGAGCCAAAATTGATGTGACACATTCCCACTAAACTACCACACACAGTGTAGTAATTCATGTAGAGTTTAGTTATGAGACTGCGTTTGCAACTTTGATTTCAGAAACCGCAAAGTCTACAAATACACTGGGTACAGAGCTCAGGCTGAAGGGAGGAAAAATGAAAGGCCTGAGTCCTACTCCATTACAGAGTGGCAGTTTTAACCCACTGCAGACAGCAAAAGACACCTCTCAAGCAAGAAAGAGAATCTTTGAGGACCATTTCTTTAACCTGTTTCTTCTGCTTAGCACTGCATTTCTGCACATCGTCAGCAGGCAGCAAACCATGTTATACATGGAATGGTTAGTAATGTAAACGTGGCCAAGGCAGATTTCTTTTAATTCTTACAACGGTTGATAAATTTTCTGATTTTATACCAAACTTCAAGCATGGGAGTCATATTACACTGGCAACTTTATTCCCAGAGTTAGATACACCTAACTACCTGCTGACATGTCTAATTACCTGCCAAAATGTAAGTGTAAATTCAACACAAACACTAGTTCCATTATGCACCATAACACAGAATGGAAAAGGAAGTCACAGGAATAGTCAAATAGACAAGTGCCAACATGATTATTTCTTTTGAAGAGCAGGCGCAGAGTTGGGGCCAAATCTCAAGAGATCAGGAAAATCTAGAACCACTGACCCACTTGAGCTCAGACAACAAAAAATATTCTGTTTCCTGGGAGCTGCAGACACATTGGTACCTCTCCCCATACCCTCCACAATCACAGGAGGTGGCTGGCTGTTTTGATCAACCACTCCTTGCTAGGGGGAAGGCAGTAATGGAGGAAAAACAGGACTAAACTGAGATTAGACCTCTTCCCTAGAAATAGCAGCCTTGTCAAGATAAGCCTTCTAAGGATATGTAGTGACTATCTTACTTGATTTAAAAATCATTGGCTTTTTTCACCCCCATTAGGAATAAAAAAGAGAACTCTTACAGGAGACCGCATGCACACCTCTGTTCAACACAGAGATGAGGATCCCTGTCAGTGTGCTGCAACAACTAATAAACTCTAAATGTTGATGGACAAGAGCGAGACTATCTCTCACAGAGCTGCCTGGTATTTCATAACTGATGTACCCTGCATGAAGCCAGTCTATATAATATGCTTTAATCTCTTGCAACCATCTAAGCTGTGAAAGAGGCAATTGCCTAATAAATTGAGAAGGTTGAACCAGAAGATGTTTCTGGTTCAGCAACACTCCCTCCTTTATATTTCTCTGTAGCTCTGTCACCACACTACAACCTTAAAAAACTCCATCTTCTCTCTCAACATCAAAAAAAACATCTTTTTTTTTTTTTAAACTCACAGATAAAATTTGCTTCTATGGTTTCCCTTGGTAACTTATTCCATATGTTCCCCTTTGACCACAAGGCATTTCTTTTGGAATTCTCAGTTACAGCTTCTAACTTCCAATCTTTTCCAGGTTTAGATAATATCTTCCTCTCTGAGGGGACCTTCTCATTCCACTTTAACAGGTCCTTTCAAATTTGCAAGCTGCACTTTTCCTGGGTCATGCACACCCAACGCCCAGCAAGGGCACAGCACGGGTGAGGAGGACAGCACCAGTCTCTTTTTGTCCAGTCTGTTCTCAACTCTCAGACCACTCCTACAGATATTTCTACTTCCTCCACAGGTTCTGTGGCTTTGCGTAACCAATGGAGACCTAGAGAAAGCAGGGAGGAAAAAGATGCTGTTGGGGTACCCCAGCAATCACTGAACATAGTATCTGGCTTTCCTACTCAAAGCAGATGATTGCTTTTGCTGCTTTGCACCTATAAAATGGTGCAACACACCTCTTGCTTCCAATGCAACATCATGAGAAGGGTAATTGCTGCTTTAAGCAGCCAGCCTGGAGAACCAACATGTCCTGCCTGCCTGGTGAAGGTGGTTTTCAAACAAAGGCAGAGTGGAGATGGAACTGGCTTATTAAAATGCCAAACAAGAATAGTCTTACTGCATGTTTCACATCACATTTCCCACATCACCACCTAGCCTGTCATTCTCACCTTTCAGAGGATAATTCCTTTGTTTGCACAACAGGCATATTTAGAGGCTAAAAACTTGTGCCAGCAATTTACCAACAGCCCACAGCTTCCAAAGGTACCAAAGCTGTGGTCCCTGTGGAACAGTGGAAAGTGCTTAGGTGAATACCTCTGGTTTTCAGTAGACCAGAAGGGGGACAAATCATTCAGCTAAGACTGCAGCAGCAAAGATCTACTTAATCAGCAGACTACTAGGGAGCACAGGGCATAAGATGTAGCAGTTCATGTCTGCAGTGCCATTCTGTGCATGGAAGCCATAAACTCAGTTGATATTCCCAAAACCCCCGACTGGGGATTTGTTCCTAAGGTTTGAGTTAAGCAAGACATTTCCATATCTGAAGAGTCCCACTAGCTTCTTTTGAAATTACATACATGCTTCTATTACCTAATTCTCCATCAGTGGTTTAAGATCAGATGTGGCCTGTAAAGAGTAGTGAACCCATACATTTGTTTTGAGACGGGCCCAAACAAAACTCTTGTTCCAGACAGTCCTAAATGGCAGGATTTGAGTCTAGGAACCATATTTTCCAATTTTGCATTTCTTTTCACTGCTCACTGTTCGGATTACTAAAAGATCTAGTGTTGTACCTTATTAACTATATTCCAAAACATCCAGTGTCAACTTCCATGTCCACCTATAGTGGTCCCATATGAAACCTAACCAAGCCCAGGCAAGCACTTCCATTTTAGGTGTAGAAGTACCCATGAAAGAGCTTGTTTCTTTCCAAGCCATGTGTTTTGGTGGGGAGAAGAATGATGACCAGGGGTGTGAGGGAGGGTAGACGGTTTCCTATTTTCTTCTTTCAAACGTTCGACATTCGGGGAACTGCGCAGCACCTTACAATGCCTTATGGAAGGAATGCTGGTCATTTAGATTACTTTGTTATATTATTACTACATTAAAAAACATTATTCATGACCTCGAGCTGCATTCACTGAGCTCTTTCTTCCTTTTGAATGATTAATCTATTATAGTATTATTGCTAAAATGGATGTTCAGCATTTACAGATGTAATATGCCTCTATTTAAATTATACCACCAAAATCTTTCCCACACATTTTCCCACCTCTCCCTCCAGATCACAGGACAAAGGAAGAATTTGCGTACTGGAGCAAAAGCAGTTACTGAGCTGCAAAATTCATCCTCTCTCACTCACACACACACAATCACAAAAGAGCAATTTTTCTTTACGGGCAAGAGGAAGAAACATCCTTTGGTGCGTACCTGTTGGTGTTATACTCTAAACCCCCAACTTCCTTGCTTGCCTGCAAAAGATCAAGAATTCTTGCTGAACTTCCACTCTCTTTCTTTACTTTGGAATTGCGCCCTGGCTTTGCCTCTGTGTCAATGTGAAGCAAATCTTCATCTGATGAGTCATCGGTCTGTAAAGCAAGGAAAAGGCTCAAAAAAGTGGAAACTCACTGAGTTAGTCAACAAGAACAGCACAAGAACTTCTGCAGTCTGCTGCTCCTCCAAAGACACAGGGCTAGCTGTCATTAAAGAAAAAACAAACAAAACAAACAAACAAACAAACAGTAAAAATCAGTTTCCTTGCAGCCTGTAAGCATAGTAGGTTTTTCTTTCCCCTTCCAACCCTGGAGAAGCAGCTTTGAGATCTGATCCTGCACACGGGATAAAACCACTGTAATGGTGTTTCCAAGTGCTGTGTTGCCTTCTCAGCCCCTGCTCCTGTACTTAAGACCATGACCCATGTAGCAAAAAAAAAGAATGTGTGGCCATATCTCTGTCAGCCCAGATATGCATCAGGGCACAGGTCTGTATCTTGCAAGACTATTAACACAGCCAATTCAGACACAGGGACAGACCCACTTCTGCCATCCCTTCTGCTAGAGAACAGGATGATCTGACAGAGGAATGGGATAGACACATATAAACAGTGGCATCTGAGGCCACTGAAGGAAGCTACCTGCATCTATCTTTCTGGGGCTGGTATCTCTATGCACTATAGTCAAATATAACAGAACAACTTTTTTCCCCATTCCTGCCCTGCTTTCAGGCCTCTAAAGTCCCAGCAATAAGGATTGCTTAGATTGCCAACCACTGTTCTCCCCAGGAACTGGCCTCCCTCCTTAAGCTTCTGCACAGTGAGATACCAACATGTTTTTCCCTGTTCTCTGTGTACTGGTGTCCAGATGTCAACTACTGACTCAGGCAAGGTGTGCACTTGCTCTTTAATATCCCTGAGCCAAACCAGGATGAAAAGTATTCCTTAGTTCTTAGGGCCTAACATTTGAGTCACTTACAGTTCTGTGTTAACAAGCTATTTTGCTTTTTCTGACTTATTCAGATATTATAATATGAATTTGTATTAACTACAGTTGGGAAAAACATTTAATTTTAATGTCATTTAATTTCCAGCATTAAGCTTCAATGCTAACACAGAGCAAACTTGCGCCTGAAGGTAAGCTATCAACAGGCACATTGACACTGCCTCAAGTTAGGGACATGCCAAAGTATCATGCTGAGTCAAGGGCATTCTAGATGCAAGCCCATAATAGGCAGAGGGAGACTCTGCTACGTGATAGCAAACAAAATCTTTAATTGCTACATAGTAGGTATTAAGGGCTTCTAGTAATGTGAAATGCGAAATGACATGAGTTCAATTGTACTAGCATTACTCCGAGTTTCATCTGTCAAACACGAACATGCAAATTTAACGACCAGTGTTCAAAGCACATGGAAATGGGAGGACAGACACAGGTGGGGAGCACAGCTTGAGACAGAGTCCTGTGCCTGTCAGCAATGCAACATCAAGCCAGGTACAACAGAAAACTCCTTCTGACCCTTCCTATTCCATCTTTCAGCTTGCTCTTGTTCACGTGTTGTGATACAACTGTCACCATCCCCATGCATGCTTCCCATCAGGCCTGATCATGTACAAGCAGTTCAAGCCACAGTACCGAATTATGTTTAGTCTTGGCAATGTCTGAATGCTTACTATTCTGGGCAGACTGCGGCTGCAGAATGAAGGAGAGGATGTGACAACAGCCTGTAAGAAGGCTTTGCTACTGCCATTACAGTGCTACCCCACATACTGTTAGAGACACAGAATGGGTGCTTGCTTGTGATAGGTACAATAATAACCATACCTTGTATGGTACCGACTCCACCTTTGGCTTCTTAACAGGAGTGTGCTGCAGAGTGTCTTTTTTATCTGATAAAACTGAATAAAAAAAAAAAAAAGAAGAACAAAGTCATGGTTCTTTTCCCTTCAAAAGATAGCACTCTTAAGCCATAACCTCTAAAGCCATTCAAATCCACTTATATTTGACTGACCGTTAAAACATGACTTTATTATAAATCATACAGATTTTAAAGACTCATTTTGGACAATCAACACATAAGACTTTGTTGTGCAGATACAGACAAAATAGGAAATATTCTTACAGGGCAGTTCTCTTTTTGTAGTGTTCTTCTTCCTTCTGATGGGAAATTCATCAATTTTTAGTTCACCATCATCTGACACATATTCATATTCATCTCGTACAGGTTTTGCTTTATCTTCTTTAAAATTCTGCAGTGACCCAAACACACTAGTATTCAGCTGGGTTTTGACTCCCTTTGAACTGAAAAAAAAAATTACAAATCAGTAACAATACTCTGATTAGAAAACATTTTGTGAATTGACAGAGAGGAAGACAATAAATATCTTTATGTAGAAATCTCAATCAACTTGAATACTTTCAGAGGTGCCACAGAAATTCAAATAATTTTACAAACACATTCCTGTACCTACAATTTATATCTCAAAATATGATGCCAACTAGAGTAGCCTTGGCTGGCTTCAAATAAGCACTATATTATTTAAGGCTGTCTCAAGGTATATCATGATATGCACAATACACATGCAGCATGGAATTTTGGTATGCAGAATTCATTTAACAATTTCTTAAAAATGTACCCTGAGTAGGATCTGCACAAAAACCACGTAATATAACTCAGCTAGTAAGAACCTGAAGTGCCAAAACATGAGACACTGCCTGAATGCTGAAGACACTATTCTCAAGCAAACTACCAGCCCAAAAGATAGGTCGTTGCTGTTATGGTCAACTATGCTGCATTCTAGGTAAAATCAAGTTCTAGAACGAAGAACTTTTTGCATAAGTGTATTTTCCACATTGACCAGAAAGGCAGATTTTCATCTTCTTGTATAAAAAAACATAAATAATGACAAGGCTTTTTAATCTGCTTTTTTTAATTGATGTGTATTGTCATATTTTTTTACTTACCCAAGCAACTTCTTATTAGAGAAAGAGAATGTAAATTTGTTGTCTTTGTTTCCTGATAAAGGCGTCTTTTCTGATTTGTGTTCCTCTTCCATTTTTAGAAGTGAATCAGGTTTACTGTTCTGAGAGGCAAAAGACACAAAACAAAACAAAAAAATTAGTTGAATGAGTTGTTGGTATTTCAGATTCCTAGGTAACCTCAGAGAATCCATTGACCTATATGCAGAGAAAAATATGCTCTCTCAAATGTGGTAAAGTAATAGAGGATTATACTCTTCCTTAGACTACATGGGTTTTAGTTCACAGACTTGTCCCCATTCAAGAAGCACTTCAGCACCAGTTTAAGCAATGCCCGCCACAAACACAATGCCAAATTTAAATATTGCTCTCTTAAATTGGTGCAGACTGATGTAAAATACTAAACACACATTTCGTGAATCAGAGCACAGGCTAAGCACACTGCTTATCATCGTGCCTTTGTGCCTAAGGACAGAATCTAGCACAGTGTCTATAACCTTGCAAATGCGACTGTGTTTTATTCCGAAGCTCCACTTGCTTCTTTCACACCTTCAGAAGAGCTTGAATTATGAATTTAATAATTTAATGTCCAAGTCATTCAGTGCAAAGGAAGCCTTTGATTAATTTTTAAGTATTGCCTTAATACTTTCCTAAGCTGTACTGGCTGCAGAATTAACTGGTACATATTGATCTAATCACATTAACTGTGACTTTTTTTAACACAAAAAATTTAGATGTCTCTAATGTTAATCATCCATGATTCTTAGTGCATGTACTTTTGTTTTGTTTTGGGGAATTTGTTTGCACCTTTGTCATTAGAAGTTCACAAAGCAGGCAAAGTTCAGACAGCTATATCAAGCCTAATGTCACCTTGTTTTAAATGGTACCTGGAGAAAAAACGTATTATTCTATGAATGAATTTTACTCACCCTACATTAGCCCTCCAGGAAGGCAAACTTTTAATTCATGAGGCATAATTCAGATTTCATTAACTCTACTTTTACGCCATCATTAGTTATTGATTTCTCTGGAACTACTCCAGACTTAAAGTATTATGACTACGTTAAAGTAAGAAACACAAAAGAGATCAGCACTGAAAAATCTCACTATTAACAGTGTTCCCACTGGCTTCAACAAGGATGAAGATGGACAATTCGGCATATGCTTTTGAAGAATCTGCCTCCCCCTCCCCCTCCCCCCCATCTGTGATTACTTGATTATTTTCTGCTCAAAATTTTTTCTTTGGGAACTGAAAATTTGTGCCTTGTAGTCTCTGCTTAGGCAGACCTATGAACATTTCTCTACCCTTGACTTATCGCTGTGTGGTAGAATCAACAGCACAATTTAACATAAGACATTACCTTATATTTCCATTTGGCTTCTGTTTTGCTTTTATTTTGCTCTCGAACTTCAAATTTCTCCACCTCATTCTGCTTACTAGCAGTTTCCTTATTGGGAACACTTAAAACATTCTTTGCAGCCTGGGGAGAAAGTCAGCATGTGCTCTTAAAGAGGATGGAGTGCTGGCATGTTACAGAAACACATTTTTTATCTGGAATATAACATGACATATTTTTGAAAACTCCTCTTCTGATTCATTCTTTTTGAACCCAAATAGGAGATTCAATCAAATATTGCTGCTTCAGAGAATGCAGAAGACCAGCTGCATTTCTCCTTGATATACCAACATACAAGATGACTGTAAAAACCTGCTAATCTCCCTGCCTATTGCTCTGTGGACAGGTTTCACAAACTGCATACAAACTACTAGAAAATTCAGAAGCATTTTAGAAAAGACTTATGGATACTTCTTAACAAACAGTGTACAATACATTACTCCATCAGTGCCTCAGTGAAATCCTGGCCCCTACTGAAGTCAGCAGCAAAATTCACGTTTAATTAAAGGACATCAAAATGAAACTTGTCCTACATGGGCAAAAATGGAAGCAAACTATTGTTTTGTCTTTATTCACTCATTCTAGGGCAAAATCTCATGCAAAATGAGATTCCTTCATCTTTGATAACCAATTATGGACATGCACACAAGAGTGCTAATAACACTTGAAATAAGAATATAATCATTCAAGGGGCAAAAAACCAGCCATTTAAAATGTCTTTTAATTTTCATCTCGCCTCAGTCTGGGAAGGGAACTGGCAGTAGTTTGCCAGACTTGGCTTGAATCAATAGGTTTCTTGGAGGCTCCATATCAAATGAATAACCAAGCAAACAGAAAAATCAAATTGAACAGTCAGGTAAAAAAAGGGCGATAAGCTAGCATTTACAAAACTCTGATTTATTTCAGTGGAGACAGGGTTTTACACTGTGTTGCTTAAATTATTTTTTCATGAGACCTAAGGACTGATTTTATCACTATTATGGTGAGAAAATAGGAAGAGATTAAAATATGACCCACCTTCCCCTTCTTTGGCGTCTCGATCTTTGTCAAAGCCTCCTTTGTGTGTGCCTCCAGCAAGTCGAGATTTGGGATGGCTGGCGGTGAACTCTCTTTTGCCTTTTTTCCTTTCTTTTTTCCTTCTCCCTTAACTTTTGGTGTTTTGGGAGGCTTAGGGGGTTTGGGTGGCTTGGGAGGTTTGGGGGGTTTGGATGGCTTGAGTTGTTTGGGGGTTTTCACAGTTTTGGGAGTCTTTTTTTTAGGGAGCTTTTCTACAGGTCGCGGCGGAGGTGTCACTTGGACAGGTGATGGTGCCTCCTCCTTCTCCACAGGGCAGATCTCCTCAACATTTGTGTTGGCACTCGTGTCTGCTTTGCTGGCTTTTGAAGCATTCTGTAGCACAAAATGGGAAGGCATTCAGACCCACCTGTCTCACGTTAGATATTCCCCTGCACCCTCCATTCCTTGGGGAAAAAACCCCCAAAGATCCCCCCTTCAATAAAGGGGTAACTGCATTCACAGGTCAGGCTGGCCAGGGAATGAAGACCACAGCACATGCCACAGTAATGCTCTGCTCACCACCAATTACTGCTCCCACATTGCTCAAGCACAGGTTTGGCCTGGAGAAACTCAAGTGGCTTCACAAGGAATGTAACTCTCACCAGGTTATATCATCAGGTAGGACTGCTAAATGGACTGCCCACACAAACAAACATACGAAATGAATGGTCTTTTGTTTAAAATGCTAATCAGCTTGAGCACAAACCATTTCCATTTAATTCAGATGTGATAAATGTAGCAGAATCATGTTTCATGCCCTCAGGAAAAATAAGCAGTAAAATAGCTGCCCAATTAAAATTAACACTGTCTGACTAATTAAAAAGAATTATTTTCTGCTTAACTTGCCATTCTGACAATCAGAAAACTTACATACTACATCGAAGAGGATAAAAGGACACGACAGATTTCAATTTTGAGGTCTTCAGATATAGTTAGAAAAGGGGTGGAATGTAATGCAATGTCTTCTTAAAACAACTGAACTAGCTATTGTCACCTTGCACTGTCACACATCTCCACTAAGTGGAATATGATACCAGACTTAATGGATGATACCTCCATGTAACCTCCTTTTATGGGTTTTTTTGGGTTGCTTTTGTTGTTTTTTTTTTCTTTTTTTTGTGGGGGGCTATAATTATAATCGCATTTGCTATAGTAACTTTGCCTAGAAGCCAGTCAAGAGCAAGGCTTCCTATTGGGACAAAGTACAGAATAATAGTCCCAAGATCAGACAATGTCATAGGGAAGACCCATGAACATAAGGAAAAGGAGATACTACGTAGGGAGCATGATCACGGCGATGGCAAGTGTTCTTTGAGTTCTATCATGTTTTTGGGTAGAGAGTAGCTAAAGTGAAAGAGCAAATAAGGATGGCGAGGGGATTGTGGTCCAATCTGGCTAGGAGAAGGTGGAGGAAGAAGGATGTAGGACAGGCAGACACAGCGTAAAGCCGAGTAGAAAGCAAATAGGAGCCCAGAATATCTGGCGAGTCAGCCACAGGCAAGAGTCCTGAGCAGTCCCCCTACTGCGAAACCTCACATGAATTCTTTTAATGAAGAGAGTGGGGAAAAAAGATTCATTTATTTCAAGTCATCCACTTTATAGCCTAGATTATTAAAAGACCCACAATATGGTTAACATTATGAAAAGAGCACAAACCTCACTTAGTCTTATTTCTTTGGCAAGGTCCTTGATAAGTTGTGCTGGTTTGAAGTTTTCTGGTAGTTCATCTTCATGCTCTGCTAAAGCCTAAAACAGAACAAAGCCAGACTGCTGTTTCTGTGCATGTTTTTTTGAAAAAATATTTTAAAAAATCTCATTAAGTGACACATCAATATTTTTCCTAGGTACTGAAATCAATACTGACTGCATCAGTAGTCCAAATAAGGAAAAAAATATAATTTTTTCCGCTTCTGGATGTTATTGTAAATAGTTGTCCTGAGAGAACAACAAAGTCAATAGTCTTTTTCACATATTATTGCATTTTCACAACTGTAATACCACTTTGCTCACCCCTTTATATGAGATTCTGTGGAAAATTCCTTTTCTACATCTACAAGGAGAGATTGTCTTAGGCTGGTGTCTTCAATGAGTATAATAGGCATATCCATTGTCAGCAGAGTGGTTTGGGAGCTCCCTGACAGGACTAACAACATTTGCATCCACATGTCATGTTATAATATTCAAAGTTCAGCTTTACCTAAATGTCAACACAGTCTCACTTCCTTTGACTCACTAATTCTCATCAGCATGGCAAGTAGAAAAATAAACAGGGTGACATGGAAAAGAGGGCTTCCACACCAGTCAGTCCTTCTTCCTCCCAGGAAACCAGGGAGCAATTCTGAATTCAGCGTCAAGCACTGGCTTTTTGCAGTAGGGAGCAGCCAAGTCCCTGACTACATTTAAATCTGGGACAGCCACCTAACTGACCTAACTGTGTATGCAATATTATGTACTCAGCTGCTCATCCCTTCTTAAAATGTCTGAAAATCCTAAAGCTGGTAGTTCCCCTGTTTATGTTTTATCATTAAGTGACCTGTCTTCTGCAGCTAATTCCTCAAAACTCTAGGAGCAACACACTCAAGAATAACAATTCTGAAATGACTGCAGCAGGAAATTCAGGCTGCAAACCCCTTTAAGCCGTCTCTCTAACCAACACGTATTTCCTGGCTCAATTAACATGTTGATTTGCGGGAACCGGGCACCTTGTGCACACAAAAATGCAGGCGTTGTTCTAGGCCTCACTCGCATACACAACCTCTGCTTAATTGATTTGGCACATCAAAATGCTCAGAGTCAGGGAGAACATTCATTCAGGATCCTTTTGGCAGTGTGCAGAATGGACTTTTTAAAAACCCTAGTGGTACCTTTTTTTTTGCTGACTCCTCATGTGGCACTAGGAAACCCCAGCTATCGCCCTCCTTCCCTTTGAGATTTTAGAATTAGCTGTTTTGCTATGAAGATATCATTTGTTCTAGCATTTGCTCTCTGTTCCAGTGACTGACAAACCTGAGGAACACACAATATTAAAACAGGCTGCTTCTCCTACCTGTTTTTTGGTCCATGACCTGAAAGCACCATTGAGAATTTTTGCTCCTTGGAGTAAATGAGCAGGAGGTTGTTGCCCACCTTTATGCAAACCTAAGTAGAGGAAAAAAACAATACCATTCAAACACTGCTAGCTAAATTTGTTTTACATAAAGTCTTTAATTTGAAAAAGTTTAACTGTGAAAGTTAACTCTTTGAAAGCTGGTCACCACAAATGAATCCCTATTATAACTTGATGGTACTAAGGAGTATATTTACTGTGTCATAATCCAACTCAGCCTTCCTACACTGTGCTCCTGTAAGTTATGTCTACACTGGCAATCCTTCCGGTTCTTTTCTTGGTCGCGTACTCAAGCTAGCTTTCATGTTCATACATCCTAGGCTGTGGGAATAAAAAGGTACCATCAGCGGTTCTTTTATTCTGACTGAAAAAGCAAGTACCAATATGTAGAAACAAACATTATATTGGCCAAAGCATTTCACTTCTGCATGAGTACAAGCTTGCCTAAACTTTTCCCCTCATTCCAGTTTTTGTTCAGAGTCGGTCACAAGGGGGCCCCCTTCCAGGCGACACCCAGAGGGACCCCTCACCTTGCTTATTAATTAGACACATTTTTCTCGTTATAAAAGGATCTGGTGGGTGTCTCTAGACACGTTCTGTAATAAGAGAAATAGAGGCAAAGAGCAAAGTGAGACCGAATCTGTAAAGAACATACACACATGGATGTTTGGATCAACTCTGATTGGGAAGATTTTGAATTGCACAGAAAACTTTGCTTTAATTCTCATGCTCCTGCTGGCCACACCTCTGATGTTCCTGCGGCCCCATGTATATGCGACCTGCCCACGTACTTGAACCGGTATCAGCAGAATGATGGGAGAAGGAAGTGCTACTCTATGCCTTGGGCTGACAGAGCGTGTAGTTCATTAGGTTAAAACAGGGAATGAATCCAGACTTGACAGGCAAGTAAAAACTAAAAAAAATGTTACAACATTATTTGCCTCTGAGGCAACATAAATACACTTTATAAAGAAGACTAAACCTTCCCTTAGGCATAGGTAAGAGGGAGAGTTAAGGTCCCTCCTAGAGCGAGACAGCAGGATATTAAGGGGAGAGCTGGTCCAGACCAGCATGTTCTGCTTGTATGTTAAAAGTAGTTTTCAAATACTAACAAGACTGATTTTGGCCACTTGTCCATCTTCTATGTGACATATCAGCAGAAATTGAGAGTAACTATTTTCACGCCCCCAAAGCTAAGCAATTAAGGCAAGCAAAGAAATGCAGTTTTACCTTTGAATGTCTCTAGTAGATGCTTTCCCATATACCAACATGCAGTTTCAAAGTTTGGAAACTGGGTGAGACTGACAATTTTCAATCGTCTTTCTACTTCATATGCCCTGCAATACAAAGCCACATGAATTTAAATCATAGCAGGTCACAAGTATGTCACACAGTGACAAGCACTGCTCATAAATGCCCGAGGTTCATTTTGCAGTGCTTCATTTCTTTGTGCTCCTACCACGTATTCTGGCACCAGACCAAAAGCAAAATATAAAAATAACATTAAAAATAACATTGCATTAAAAGAAAAGCACAAGCAGGATCTGACATACAATAATCCCAAAAATCTGATGCTCTGTAAGAATCGGACACAGTTTCAGATGACAGTCACTGCCAGTTTAGAACTCTAGTGCTACAGAAGCAACAGTGAACAGACAGAAGAGAAATCAGAACCAGAAGAGCCCTACCATGTCACATGGATTTCAAGGAAAGTTTCAGCCATGCTAACTGATGAAACCTGTAGTTGCTGGTCCAACCTTTCAAATTTGTTAGACCACTCAACACAAGTGTTTGAAGTAAGACACTGTGTGACACAGGTGTAAGATTGTTTAATTCCATTATTTGTCCAGCATCAGTAAAGAACTTTTTTTATTGTCTTACACTGGGCAAAGAACCCAGCTGAGCAGGTGGGGGCTTATCCAGAAGGCAAATGGCATGTTCTAGGGTAAAACTCCTGACAGTTTTTAACAGTTTTTCGTTCAGGACTTGGCCACATCAATCCAAGCACCTCACATATCCTTCCATGCGCTATGCAATAGGTGTTAAGACAGTTTGGATTAACTCAGCATGGGAGAACACGGTAGAAGGGGGCAAATGTGGGTATGCTTTCCAAAATTGTCCAGTAGAGCTACATCAATGTTACCGCAAATGTAGGCTAATTAATAGGAGAGAGGATGGCCAATTTATTAAAAACTGAGCCTCTACCTAACTTTAGATTTTAAAGACAGATTACCTCATCTGCATTTCAACACTTAGACTATGTAGAAAATGTCCTGCGAAGGCCAGGCAGTCTACAGGTGTTAGAGTTGCATAAATCCAACCTAAAAGAGAAAGAGAAGAGTCCCGAGGATAAGAACTTGAATCACAGTAACAAAGACTTTATTCACAACATGATGTTTATGCTTCACTTAGCAACTAACTTCCTAGGCACCAATACAGCTCTGCAGCCCAAGTCAGCACCAGAACCGTATACGCTTTGAACAAAGTTGCATATGGCCCCTTGTTTGTTTTGCATGATAAAGGCCCAGCCCAGGAAGGTGCTACACACCTTTGACTCCCAGTCCCAGGACTTCCTTCAGTGGTGGCAGACAGTGAAGGGGGCCATACTGCTTGCACTGACATTACCTTCTTGTTACTGTGAAAAGCAGCAGCAGCTACATAACGGTAGCTGCTTTCACATCACCATAAAAATCTGTGACAGCTCCTTACACTGACTTTATTGTCGTGCCAGGAACAGGTGTTTTCCAAACACTTATTGTCATACAAAAATCTGCTTAAATTAGTGAATCTCTATAAATTGCTCCGTGTTTATTCTACCATCTGCTCCACATATGGTCATGAGAGAAATACCTACTTTCCACTTTTTACAGTCAAAGTAAAATTCAAGTGAGTAAACATTCTGTGCAAGAATATACTCACACACAGAAAAATGGCATTACTGGATGCTGCCTCCAAAACACAAGTACCAGTGCTGTTACTTACTCATGCTGCCTGGAAGTCTCAACTCAGGTTATGGATCAAGTGGGCAGTGCATCATTTAAAGGCACATAGAGGGAGAGAAAATCCCTGTCCCACAGAGATTACAGTTTCAACAGGTAACAGGGAGTGCTGGAAACAGCAATGCAAATGAGGAAATAATTGTTCATGGTGAGAGGAAGGCGAGGGACAGGGGCAGGAGTAGAACTGCATTCACTGAAAACTCTGCACTACCTGCTGATCAACTCCCTATCCTTATGAAGATCCTCCCAGGAACTGAGAAAAACAAAATCCACCATCCCTAACCTGCAATGAAAGCCACAGTCTATCAAGTAACCCATAAAAATCTGTGACATCCAGGTCTTCAGCCTCATGTGAAACCACAAATGCACACCCACACTCGTGCAGGCGCCTTTATAGTTCCTTAGCGTCACAGGGAACCGATGACCATGAAAAGGATTTTGTGGGGAGTCATGGTCAGCAAGTAATTCAACATGAATTCTCTGTTAGATGGCAAAAAGCACCTATGTCATGGTTGGATACAGAGAGAGAACTCATGAATTACTGCAACCCAGCTAGACCAAGAGTGGAAAACTACCTACTAGTTGTACTTTAAAAGGGTGTTAAAATATTGAAAGAAAGCAGTAAAAGTTCTGATTTTTTTTTAAGCATATGAAATTATACTTCTACTGAGAATTAGACTTCAAACTTCGTCAGAGAAAGTGGTCAAATCACATCCTTCTAGCATTTTGGACATGCTATTTCAGCAGCTCTAAAACGAGCAGGAAACCTCACCTGCAACAGCCTGCTCACCTGATGGAATGAAGAGTGTCTGTCCTTGTTTAACTGTGCATTTGTAACATTTATCTACTTGGTCTGCAAAAAACATCTCACTGTGGTTTGCTGCCGATTGCCAGCGTTCATAAAGAGAAATATTTGCAGAGGCTGGTTTGATGAGATAAAATATCTTTTCTCCCTGAATTAGAAAATATAAAATTAGCAACAAGCAGCCAAACCAAGCACTGCTGCACTGGCACAGATTCATGTACACACACGCGCACACACAAATATTTATCTAAAGAAATATATAGCATTACATATTTTAACACTATCAAAATAAAATTTACTCGACAGCTTTGTACAGAATGGCTGAAATAATTAAATCGCTAGCTGACCACATTTGCTCAGATTTGTGGGACTGATGTTGCCAAAAGTTTACAGTACCAGATTCCATTATCCTGTAAAAGCAGGACACAGTATCTTTCAGGTCTTAGGTGATGTGTGTGCAGAAAGCACTGAACAAATATTAAAAACCAAATACAGTGAAAACACACAGACAACTTCCACACTCCAAGTGGCTTCCTCGCTCATCAAACCCTGGCACTGCTGAGAGCATACCCACTTACAGAAGTTAAGGCTATGCATGCTTCTTACGGATATAACAGCACCATGGGGAAAAAAAAAAACTGAGACCTGAATTTTTGAGAGAATTTTAGGATGGCCCTCACATGTAAAACTTAGTTCATTACTAGATACACTGCAAAAACAGGATGCCTCACCTTCAGCACATGGTACCATGCAGAAGCTCCTCCCGAATCTATGTGGAAATCCGTGTAGCTGTCCTTCACGCAGATCAGGCAGTACTTGGTAACTTTGGGTTTAGCCAGAAGAGCATCATCAGGCCAATAGTTTTCCACCCAGGACAACTTCTTAACTATATCTGGAGGCTCTACAAAACTGGACATCCTTTACAAAGAGAATTGAAAACAAGCATGCATCTTTTTAAAAAAGAGTACAAGGACCCCGATAAAACAAAAAGCGGAGTGCGACTCTAATACTTGCATGGCAATCTGAAGCAGCTGCTTACATGTCACTGGAACTGCTCTTCATTCAGAAAAATTGTGAAAACTGTTTACAGACAGAGATTTAAGGCTTTTTAAGTATGAAGACTTAGCAACAATCCTTTGACTTCTTTCAGTAGCAGCATTTATGATCAAGTATATGCTGTTTGTATTTTTCCAGTCCTACCTCTTGCTATATAGGCTCAGTTATCAATAGCACTGTTACCACAGCTGCTTTTCCAGCCACCTTCAGAAGAGAAAGTGAAATGTGTGCTCTCTTACATAAATGGTCTGGCAAATCTTAAAAATTTGCAAGTTAAGCTTAGTATTAAAAATCCTAATAACAATCACATTAATACTTAAGGACTAAGTAAGTCTTGACCTGATGCTGAAAATAACAGTGATCTTTTTATTTAGAATGACTAAACTACGTTAAAAGCTCAGAAGAAGGAAAAAGTCTAATTTGGGCTAATAATGTGAAAATAGTTAAAATAAAACATACATAATATTTATTTATATAATCTATACAAATGAATATATTTACATTGAACACATATTCATATTGCATACATTTATTTATATAATTTATATATTATGTTTACATTAAATATATAATATATACTATAAATCACAGCTAAAACTATGTAGTGGCATGATAAACAGGTATTAAAAGCATTTCATCCCAGAATGTGCTAAATTTTATATTTTAAAAGTCCAAAATTTGGACTAATATTTGCAAGGGGTGGAGGTTCACTTTTGGACGCTCTAAAATATCACGTCAGTAAGAATATCTGCACTTCAAACTAAAATTAAATGCTCCCATGTGTCATTTATGTTCACTGTCAAACACTGATAACAATAGCTCCATTTAAAATGGCAGGGAAAGATGGAGCAGTGCATTCAATTAAAGTGTCACTGTCTATGTTAAGAAATAAAATATTTGCTAGTTAATGTCTAAATTAGCAGCATATGAGTGACAGCTCCAGCAGTCCTTCAGAACAAAAGACCTCCCGTTATTCTGGGATAATGGCAGAAAGCTAAAAAAATCTCAACTGAAGATACTGGTAATATTTGAAGCCTGTAATTACTAGAGATGCTTTCTGCAGAAATGGGTGTGCACTAACTACTAAAATACTAACTACAGAGCTAAAGGTAATGGCTTTAAAAAAAATGAGCTTGTAATTATTCATCAGCCTTCTTTTTTAAGGCTACTTTAAGTCTTCTTGCTAAAATGGAATGCTCCCTAAAACAACCATTATTTTTTTTTATGTTGACAATCATCATCTTCTGTGTAGTGTTTGTATATAAAGGAATCTTTTCTTTCTCTGGCACTTCCCTTCTGTAAGTACTAGCTACCCAGAAGGACTACAAGAACTGTAAAAATGATCTGCGCAGTTGCATGAAGTTCAGTACATTATAGATGCATCTACCTACTTCTGGAATAAAAGCACAGCTCAGGTGATGAATACAGCTATATAAAACACAAAGCAATAACCTGAGCATTTACATCAGCTAATTATCCTATATATAAAACATATACTATAAAACATGAGGAGAATAGTAGGCTTCCTGTCATTGAGGACTGGTGATATTCACATAGCCAGCACCATTACCTCTGGCTCATCACCATCATTACCTCATCACTAAAGCACCTTAGCCTCAAATTCAGAGCTAATCTGTACCGTCACACCCCTCAACTTTCCGTCGAGAAGTCAGCATCACTCTAGTTCTGAACTGCTGTCATACAGATTACAGGTTAACTCGCAGAAGCACTGAAACTAAAACTATAATGCATGGTATAGGATTACAAAATTATAATAATTTCAAACTTACTCTCATTCAAGGACATCCAGTGACATGTTACGCTACACCTAGAACCACACCTCATCTATTCCCTTACTCTACACTACTTTAAATGGAAAATTTTAGTAAGCAATATATGATGCGCTCAAACCAGTGCTATACAAGCAGGATGTTCACTGCTGTACAATGCATTTTAAAAAAGAATGCTCTGAGGAGATCACCATGTTTCAAGATTACCTTAAGATGGAAAAAGGGCTGTTGTTGCCTTAGATCCATCAGGATTCCCACCTCACCAGAAAAATAACACAGAATATTAAAAAATAAGCCCCCTTATGTCCATGTTCTCCCACGAACCCATATACAGTTTTATCATACCTCTGTGGTCATCTCTGTCCTCCTTTCTTTGGTCTTACCAGTATTTGTCGAGCTGTATCTAAGTACCTAAGATCGTACTAGGAACATACGTCATCATTCACTACCAGGACAGGGCAGAGAATTCACTCCTGGACCATCAGGTTACATTCGAGTCATAAATCACTAGGATCTAGTTGCAATGAATTAACTATACCTATACTACTAGAGTTAAAATAAAACAAAAAGGTGCTGTTCTGATATGTGAGTGCTGATGGCGCATCAATGCTGATGATATGCAGGTGTGAATTACCATGACAAATGCTGGCCCATTTAGTCCACTGTGTACCATTCTCCTCATATAGCAAGTAGCACTTCCATTTCCATGCTTTGCCTGAACTGGCTGCATATGGATGATGCAGTGGAGAGTCAGAGCAATAAGAAGCCACTATCCCATGGTTAAAGCAGTACCTCCTAAAGAGGGAGCCAGCAGAGAAGGCAGAGGCTGTTCAAACTCCCCCAGCCGAACCCCACCAGGTATCCCGGACACTGTACGGTGCAGCAGCCTAGACTCTTACCTCGTGTCTGAGAACTCCAGGTTGGTCACATTGAGGACCCTTTTTCTGTTTGTACTGTAGTAGTAATCCACAAATTCCTTGAGCTTCATCTTGCAGTCTTTCTGTTTGGTGACATCAGTGACATCAACACTCCTCTCTGGTCCTACAAATCAATTCAATGAAAAAGAGAGATTGAAGGGCAGCCTGACTTGCCCCATTTTGTATGCTTGGGGATGAGTTAACATTTTGAGAAACATCTCAATCTTTTGATTTTCTGATCTTCTTAGCCTTTGTATCTTCCCTGTTGTATAAAAGACGTGTATATACATAAAATATAGATGCATAAAATGGTGTCTTTGTATTCACGTCCCTGACATTATTATTTCTGTAGTTTTTATCTTTAAAGGATTACTGTTATTTTGAATCTATTAATTTCATTATGGATTTTATTTGCATGGTGAAAACTATATGCAAATACCTCTATATCCACAGAGTAAGCCCTACCCACCATGCTGTAAAAGTCTCACGATTGTAGACAAAGTGTAATACTGTATAGGATATCTTGTCAAACTGATTTTCCAAAATTATAAGTTTTCTTATGTTCTATTTTCAATTTTTGCTTATGAAATCTATAATTGAGGAGTTTTGCAGGAAAATTCCCATTTTTTAACATGATATTTCAGGTGTGCCACAAAAAAATTGACTTTCTGTTATTTTACCCAAAATTACACCTATCGAATATCCATCCCCTCTGTATTACAGTACAGAGGATAAGCTGCTAGTACTTATATGTTTCTTCAACAGAACTTGTTGGGTGCAAATCCCCAGTGTTAATACTAACAGTATTAGTCAATTAGTGGAATTTAACACTGGGCACACCAGAGTACACATGGGGAAAGTCAGAGCTTTATAAAGAGTGTCCATTTCTAAGCAGACTCTCTTATCCTTTCTGCAAGGAAAGCATCTCTCTGGTCTTTCTTCCCCTTAGTTTTAATTGGCCTAATTTTTCCTTTCCCAGTGTTTCATTCATGCTTTTTTCACATCATGAGAGGAAAAAAAATCAATTTGTTTTTTCCTGAAATGCCAGAACAGTAATGATGTATTTGGCAGTCTTGGTTGTGGTGTTTTGTCCTCTGCTACTTTAGATTGTTTCTAAAAGACATTCTAGGTCCAATGTAATAAACTACAGAACAGTGAGATAAATCCCTGCCTGGGAAATCGTGTTCAAGTGAACTAACCCTATGAAGATTAGATCAGCACGTACTTGTTCCATTCACTTTCAAATCTGGGGCCAGCTCCAGATTAAACAACCCATGTTCTTCCCTCCAGCTTTTCACTAACTATTTTGTTGGGAGGGTGGATTATTTCAGCTAGAGGCTGAGAGAAAGGCAGCAGATGCATAAGGAGCACCTAGGTCATAAAAGAAAATCTGCCAAGTGGAGCAGATGGGCAAGGAAAATATGTTTCCTGTAAAAGGAACGGGATAGAGAGAACAATAAAATCAGGGGTCTTGAATTCTCCTTTATTTGTAGTTATCTCACTGCACACAATCACTGCAAAAGCAATAGATACAGTCAGGAACACCAGTGGCTGGTGACAGCAACCTCCAGTTTGGGGAACAGGTCAACGGCCTGGTAAGGAAAGGGGAGGAGGAGGGGGTGGTTAGCAGACTGTATAAGGAGATAAAGGGACCATGAAACACAGACAGATACACTGGAGCTGGAGTCATGGCTCCAAAAGGACAATGCCTTGCCAGAAGAGGGGAAGGAGAGAGAATCGGACAGAAAGTGACACAGAGGAGGGACAAAGTGAGAGAGGACAAGAGACAAGATCACATGTGCTAAAGGAAGAAGGATGTGGAGACAAGACAAGCAACTTCAGACCACTTCTACGGCTCCTGGCCAAGGTGTGTCTTCCAAGGTGGGATGATGTGATGACTTGTGAGAAGATGCAGTACCATGCCCTGCTCAGGTTAGAGAAAGGAGGATGCCAAAATGAATCCAAATGACCAACAGCAATGAAAATAGCTCTCACTGATAGCAGTGTTAAAAAATGTACTGCCTTTGCAGAGTGGGAGTCTCAGTATTCCTTCAATACAAAGCAAGATGGCAGTAATCAGCTAAGACCTGACCTGAAGAAAAAATTTTTTGATACTACTATGACTGTTTCTTTTAATGCAGTGCTATGGAGTACAATGCAGTCTGGCTCAGGCTCACTGTAAGATACACAAGTTGGTACAAGAAACAAGAGTGAATTAATTGCTAATTACAAGGTACCACTACATAACAAATACTGAAGTCAGCATAGCTCAAGACACAGACAATATTTTACAACGTATTTTACATTTTTTTATACAAATAATATATGTATTTTTTGAAAAGCAGCTGAGCTCCAAACAGTACAATGCCACCTGCTTGCCAGATACCCACCGACGTAGTTTTCAACATCGCTGACGTAGAAGGTGGGTGCGGGCACGGACAAACCGAGGCCATCCTTCTTTGGAACGAGGATGGGCTCTGCAAAGCCATTTTCTTCCAAATATTCTGTTGTTAGTTGGCTGCCTGGCACTTTCACGACTATATCTTCAGCACTGAAAAAGTAAACACAGATTCAGTGGTGAGGTGCTTCCATGCAGAGTTTGGCATCTTCTGCATTTCACTACTGAAAGTTAAAAGTAATGAATAAGCAATTATATGCAAATTAGGTGCACACGAAAAACCAAAAAGCCATTTATTGCAAAGCACGCAGGGCACACTAAAATCATCCGGAATCGATTCACTCAAGCCTCATGCACCAACTGCCGGAAACTCCTGAAATAACAGCTTACGGAGAAAGACCATTTTCCTCAACTATAAGGATCTGTCAAGTTACCAGTGATCAATGTTAAAGAAATTAGTGTTAAATGTTCCACTCTAAAGAAGGCAAGATTAAAAACGTTTTAGTTGTTGCTAAGCAGTGCTTACACCAGTCAAGGACTTTTCAGCTTCCCATGCCCTGCCAGGTGCACAAGAAGCTGGGAGGGGGCACAGCCAGGACAGCTGACCCAGACTGGCCAAAGGGCT